ATTGATCCAGCGTCCACGCAAGGAAGGTGACTGAGTCATCTATCGTAATACGGCAATGTCACAATATTTATTCTATATTAATACCTACACAAAGTCAACAATACCAACACTTGTAAGCTGAGAATTTTTACACTATCCACAATTATAACTTAACATGTTTGTATTATAACATGTATACTTAAAGGAATAATAAATATATGACCTAGTTGGTTTATTCATATTATAATATGTTTGGGTTTAGAACACTTGATTCATCTATATTTTTTTATACAAATGATTTTAGTAAGTTAAATTAAATAAATACACCCATGTACTGTCCGCCACAATTCTAGTATTTATAGCGTAGGGATGACTTCAAGTTAAAAAGATAGAGAAACACTATTTTACCATATATGTATAAACAGCATAAAAGTCAACACAGGCAAGCGAGGCAGTTCATATTTTGATATGACAAAAATTCGACTTTTTGAAAAAAAGTCATACTCATAATAATCCTTATGCTCGTTTACTATTTCTTTTCTACATTCTATTTTGACTTCTTCGTGCATATTGTATATTCAAATTGATTGATTTGAGTTGTGAGTTTGTTCACTATAATTTTGAAGAATGCGATTTGTATGTACTGCCCCCAATATTCAAATATATGATACGTTTTTAGAAAGTGAACAGAGTAAAGTTTGGATTTTCTTTTTAATTTGTTTTGTCACATACGTGTCTACATCACTAGACAAAAATACAATGCAAATAAAAAAATACATTTCACAATTTTCTTTCTCTCTTTTACAATCCATGATAATGGTACTTCATAAGAATTAACACCTTTCTGAATTGCGGAGATTTCAATTATTGCCTGAAATGGAAAATCCAGTGGTCCCTATTTATAAGTGTAGCGCCCTCACAGTTTCCTTTGTGTGAGAAAGTAACAACTTGGGGGAAAAAAACTGCATGCGCGGACATAGAAAATCAGTTGTGCAAAGCTGAAACACACTTTATATTCACTCTTTCTTGCCAATTTAACCCATAAGTGTGTTTAATCATGATGTTGTCAGTATACGAGGCGCGGAATGTAAATTTATTATTTTGTGTATACTAGAATAAAACGGACTAATAATTCAAAATTACGTACGTATTGGAGGCCGTGGCGTGTGTGTTTTAAAATGATGTATGCATTTTAAAAACGCCGTGATTGTGTTTTTAATGGTATGTGTGTGTTTTAAAAATGACGTGTGTGTTTTAAAAATGACGCGTGTGTATTAAAAAATATGTGTGTTTAAAAACGACGTGTGTGTATTAAAAATGAAGTGTATATTGAAATGACGTGTGTGTTTAAAAATGACATGTGTATTTAAAAATAATGTGTGTTTTTAAAATGACGTGTGTTTAAAAACGACGTGTGTGTTTTAAATCATGTGTATATTAAAATGACATGTGTGTTTTTAAAAATGAAGTGTGTGAGGTCGCATGTAAATTTCGTATGTGTAAAAAAACGCGTGCATTAACCTATTCACGCATGTGGAGGCGCGTTGTCTCAAGTGGTAGCCATTTTTGTTTGTAGATTTTTATAACATCAATGAGGTACGTAGAAAGAAACGTGTCCAGCGCGAGCGTTTTATTCATTCGGACTTATAAATTTACCGACACTCTCAGAGGCCTGTCGATTTATTACGGATAGACCAGTATTCGGTCCCATGGGCCTAGACGTCCACGTATTGTCTTCTGCAACCAACCACACGAATAAATCGTAAGGCCTCTGACGATGTTGATAAATTTATAGGGCCGCATGAATAAAACGTTCGTGATGGACACGTTCCGTTGTACGTACCTTATTGACGTTATAGAAATACGTGTGTGAGGTACACACGTCATTTTCAAAAACACACACGTCAGTTTTAAACACACATTATTTTAAAATACACACGTCGTTTTCAAACACACACGTCATTTTTTAAAATACACATGTCATTTTAATATACACATATTTTTTAAAACACACGTCATTTTAAAACACACACGTCATTTTAATATACATATAATTTTTAAAACACACCCGTTATTTGAATATACACATAATTTTTGAAATACACACGCCATTTTAAAACACACACGTCGCTTTTAAACACACGTCAATTAAAATACACATTATTTTTAATACACACACGTAATTTTTTAAACATACATAAGTTTTAAAACACACTTCATTTTAATACACACGCCATTTAATATACACATTTTTAATGCATATACATTTAATGAACACATACACACATCAGTCATTTTAAAACACACCATTAAAACGCACAGTCACGCCGTTTTTAAAATGCACACATCATTTTAAAACACACACGCCACGGCCTCTAATACGTACGTAATTTGGAATTATTAGTACGTTTTATTCTAGTATACACAAACTAATAAATTTACATTCCGCGCCTCATATCAGTATTATTTTATGTTGGGTTAATAGCTGTCTAAACTTAATTAGTGAGTGAGGGAGGGATCACACAGACAATGAAACGTGAAAATAGTACTACATTTACCATTTGTGAACAGTATTGTCGGACTGCACACACGTTGTGAAATGTTGTTATGATACTAGTTTTTCCTAATGAAAGTAGTATGTTTGTGTTTGAAAGAATCAAATCACGTTGTCTGTCACCATGTCATTACTATTACTTCTGAATGATAGATTTTATTATCTTGAATGAATATATGAATAACACCGCCAAAAGACTGAGATGATTATTTATATTTTGCACAGTGCAATTGTACATATTTAAGATATGTAAGATTTACTAATTTACATACGAAATATGTGTTATAGTAAAAAATGGACGCTCAGACGAAAAAAGTGCACGTGACCATGAGTGGTATAAATATGTCCAAGTACAACGCATCAAAACGTTAATTGTTGTTGCATGAAAGTTTATAATGAATTAGATACCTCTCTAATCAAGTTTAATATTATGTTAAACCGAACTTCCAATCGCCATCACCCAAGGGCGTATATTGTAGAGATGGTTGTTATGGTTGTTTTTATCTGCGATCGCTTGTTTCATCGCTGCTGGTGTACAACATTGACTAACTACATAAGCGAATCCAATTGTGTCAGCATCCTTTATTTCATGTTTTGTCATATTACCTCAAACCCTGCAAATGGAAGTGTGCATGAAATCATGGGAGGGAACTGTGTGCATTGTGATAACTGTCATAAAGGTGATTGACAGGTCATACTTGTTTTAAAGTCAGGAAGGACAGTGGGTTCTACCAGGTGTGCTTGTAATTTACATAAAAAAGGGTGTTTACAACTTTGGAAGGAAAATTTGAATTTACCAGGTGTGCTATTATTTGAATAACAAAGAATGTTTATGATCTACTGAGTTGCCTACGTGACACAGCTGCTAGCAAGATAACATTCTGATTGGCTTATGTGGAAACCCAGGTGGTGACACTGAATCATGCCTATAAATTGGACAGACTAAAGACAGTTTGGGTCGATCATTTCAACTTGGTGTCCGTCACTTCAAATTGCTTTCCTGTGTGTTCTGCTATGATACGATATTACAGGCTACAACCATCAATCTGTGAGACTTGTATGAACTTCTCTGCTATCTCCTGCTTTCAGCGATGCCCTCCAGAATACCAGCGTTTCTCTGCAAGCAAGACTCCTGTATTTCTCCGTTGTTGTGTTGCAGAAGCCATTAACTGTCGTCCAATAATACATCCTGGAACTGTGAGTTGTCACCAATGCACACTTCCCTAAGCAATCCCCTGAGTTTATTCATTGTATTTTCTGTGCTTTATTTCTTGTAATTAAAGCCAGGAGCTTTAACTCGATATTTTGGTGTATGTGTATTTCATTTCCAGTACTATTGTTTTGTCTACCCCATACTAGCAGTGAAATAACCCCCTGTCCAGTGTGAGTCCTGTGGATGGCCCTCTCAATTGCGATAAGCAGGTCTTGCACTCTGACAAATTGTATCGCCTGTATTATCCAATTGTACCACTTGTATTATCCAAGTGTACCACTTGTATTATCCAATTGTACCACTTGTAATATCCAATTGTAACACTTGTATTATCCAATTGTACCACTTGTATTATCCAATTGTACCACTTGTATTATCCAATTGTACCACTTGTATTATCCAATTGTACCACTTGTATTATCCAATTGTAACACTTGTGTTATCCAATTGTAACACTTGTGTTATCCAATTGTAACACTTGTGTTATCCAATTGTAACACTTGTGTTATCCAATTGTAACACTTGTGTTATCCAATTGTAACACTTGTGTTATCCAATTGTACCACTTGTGTTATCCAATTGTACCACTTGTGTTATCCAATTGTACCACTTGTATTATCCAATTGTACCACTTGTATTATCCAATTGTACCACTTGTGTTATCCAATTGTACCACTTGTATTATCCAATTGTACCACTTGTGTTATCCAATTGTACCACTTGTGTTATCCAATTGTAACACTTGTATTATCCAATTGTACCACTTGTATTATCCAATTGTACCACTTGTGTTATCCAATTGTAACACTTGTGTTATCCAATTGTAACACTTGTGTTATCCAATTGTAATGTGTTTGATTGCGTGAAAACTAAATCGAAAATGACTTAACAAACCCTTTTCGTGATATATCATATATGGGACAGACGCATAATCAGTGGTATGTGAGTATACAAGCTCACTGGTTTTCACTTATACTATTTGTAACACAACTTGTGTTGTTTCCATCATATTTTTGTCAATCCCATCGCCATATATATGAACTTCAGATCACTACGATGCTATAAACCTTTTAAAAATAAAAAAAAACAATTAAGCCCAAACATATTTTGATTTCTTGTCACCCTTTTACGTCATTTACGTCATCACTGAAATGTGCAATTGGTACGATTTAAACTATATCACTACGAGATAAGCTATTCTCGCTGTGTTGTAATGACTGACACTTGAATTCCTTTAATGAGCTTGTCAATCACCTGTCTGTCAGAGTGCATGTTGATTATACACGCTCTAAGATAAACTTCACCGTTGATAAGATTCGCAGAAAGGTTGAAACCCTCGTCTCTCATAATTATCTTCTGAAGCCTGTGGTTAAAGTTGTCAATCTTTGTTTTATCTACAGTGTCATATCTGAACAGTACAACGGTCAGCTGCGGATAGGGACCAACACGAAAACCTGGCATTTCTGCAAATCAATGCATTATTATGTTGTGAATAATTACTCGGGTATCATATTACATACATTAACAAATGTTATTTTAGATCAACGGGCATGTGGTCGAGATAAATGACGTTACCAACTAACGCATGTATTATATGACCACGATTATAGGATTCCTACACCCTGATACCTAGCGGACATGCTGACAATTATGCCATGCATCCAGTTTGACCAAGACATAGTTCGTCACGCGCAAATACAAGACACAAGCTTTCTCGCTTTCTCCGAGATTTCGGCGGCCATTAACGAATATTTACATTTTCAATATATTTTTTTGTCACATGTATGGTATAAATGTACGTTTTTCACACTAGAATGTAGATAATTGTTATAAGTTACTGATTCGGTTTGTATATTTATATACGACTACATATATACAAATAGATATTAAAGTAAATTAAAAAAAATATATAAAGGTTGATATTCCCCTCAAAGATTTTGCGATGCGATTTATCTGACATGAAACACAAACCTTTTATGGTCCTGAAAACGTAACCTGCGAGGAAGACCTTTTCTTGCAAAAGACATCTGAATGCTCCAACACCATGTAGTTTTAATGGTAACCATAAAACCAAAGCTCTGTTCCAAAACGGATAGTGGGACGTGTATATATGATTGAATGATAATTGATTGAAAACAACATTATGAATTATTCATTTTTTGACGGCCTGAATACTGAGCGCACAACACGTACTATTCATTGTTTAATCGAAACCATTTGTTTAGATTTGTAAAAGTACTTTTGAAAAATATAATTCATTGCAATACTAAATTAGCTAGTGTAACATTTGTCAAATACTTTGTCTTCAACGCGGAGTATACATTGTTCGCAAACTACTGCCGTGGTATAGCTGAGAGCAGATAACCACGTAATTTATTTTTAAACCACCTTCCCCAACAAATTCCCTGCCGTATTTGTATTCAACGATTCAAATAACGTGGTTTCCATGGTAAGGGGTGCAGTAGTCGCGATGGTGATAGACAATGGAACATTAGTTCGGAAGCAAAACCAAGTCTCGTTACTCTCTCGCTCCCAACGAGATCTCCGCTGCCATTTGCAAATTAATGTTTGTTGTACAGTCAGATTAACGATTAGCTTAACTATTACCAAATACCTGAAGGGTTCACTTGTTTCAATTGAGAGATCAACAGGAAAGTCGTCATTAACAGGAGAGTCTTTATCAACAGAAGGGTCTTTATCAATAGGGTAGTCTTCTGATGGAAATTCAGAATCAAAATACCCATTGTTGATGCCACAGCATGATTTCAGTAGTCCACCATTCTTCAAGATTACTATGCTGGAACCAAATGACATGAAGAGTGCTGTTAATGAAAAAAATAAGTAGTGAAGCATATCTAGGGCTCTGTTAGGTCACATTTAATTATAATGACTACTATCTGTTGAAACCTTAATTTTTGCTATATTTTTATTTTGCACAATTTAAAGTTTAAACATGTCATGATTTTTTTATGTTTGAGTAACTGAAATTACAGGAATCGCAAATTGCGTAATTACGCTTATTGACACAAAATGTTATTCGGGTCTTTGTGTGGAAAATCGCGTGCAAATACACATATTAAACAATCAGTAACCAACATTTGAAAACGTGAACTGTATTAAATTTAAGCACCAGACGTTTATTGTACTTGAACTACGCAACTCCAAAATCAGTTTCTACATAGCTATATATGATTTGAGATACTGATCATGGAAGGTACTAACGTTAGTATCTTCCATGTACTGATAGACTTAACTTATAACTGCACTGTATTGCCACCATTAATATCGCTGTTTATTCTGTGCAGTATTGTGTGTGTCAGGTTTTAAAGATCCAACCTATGGTATTGTGAAATAAGGATTGCATAATCATGCATTACACTGAGCCAATAATTCGAACCAAGATTATGAATAATTATGTACTTTTAATAGTACGAACTATTCTGTTTTTAATAACACATTCATCTACAATTTATTTTGTGTTGTGTGGCCAAATCTGAAATAGTGTGTGCTTGGGTATTTTGTCAGACTAAAATCAAAAAGGATGAGTGATCTTCTGACATTGAAATAAACAAACTTGGATACCATCTGCAAATATTAGAGTTTGTTTTGGCACGGTAATGTTGAAACTGAATCTTAATAAAAACAAACAAGGCGTGGGATCTGGTATGATTACTACGCAGTACAAATGATTTTCTCAGTAATAGTATGTTCTCACTGGCGAGAATTGTCTTCGTCATCTGTTATTTACATGTATTACTGTACTATTTGAGAATTTTTATACAATTAATGTTCTATTATCATGTCGTTTTTTTGCATGTACAATATATTAATTCGACTTAGTAGTTGTTTCTACATTGGTTGTTGAATACACGTGTCCACAAGAACAATCGTAACTAAGCACTACCTAGATATATATGTTAGTTGTAATGTTGGAGTTTCGAGTTGTGCATCACCATCTAGTCGCTGTGGGCCGTGTTTACTATACTTAATTTCGAAACGCTTTTTTTGCGCAGTGATTGAGGCGTGGCATTTCGCGCACCTACCTACTGTTGCTAGACGATTCTATAATCATGAGTTTAGTTCCTGTGTTTCATGTTGTAATATGATTCCGTTTCTTTGCGTGTACAATTTATCAATAAAGAGAATGTAGTGTAATGGAGAAACATACATATTTATTTTTGTATCTAGCGATGACCTTGGATAGAATTATTCTTCATTTGCCATGCAAAAAAACAAAAACAATGTTGAAATCTCTGTTGTTATTCAATCTCTACACCCACAAGGTTGTAATAGTTACGCTATATTTCTACAGGCAAAGATATGTTGAAAGAGTGAGTGTGGTTCGTGCTTTCATGAACTTCCTGCGTTTCTTCTCCACCAATGTAAAACAGTTTTTGGAAAACAGCTTTATAATTTAAGTGTTTCTGTAGCATATCTTCTTTGTGATAAGGGTAATGATATTCTAGCTACTTTACATATACATTCATATTATTCCTCAGAACGCGAAATGTATATCACTTTCACGTGGTTATGGCAGTCGCGAATGCGCTCGTCGCTAGAGGGCGCAACATACAAGGAAGATGTGATTACATACTTTTATGAGGATTCATAATTATAGAGTCAGCTATGTGAACATCTTCAAAACAAGACTTGAGTTCTTCCACTAGCACAAAAAATCCACGATATGCTGCATCGACGTGTAATCAAACATTGTATTCATTCGCTGTATCGGCTAATTTGCCAATTGGGTCAACTGAACCACTCACCGTTCTACCAATAATCGCTCCAATAAAAAAATGGAATTAGGCCTGCCTGATTAAGAAACGATTAGCTTTAGTCCATTGACGTGTTCAACAAGGTAAAAAGTCCTTGGAATGTGCTGGAAAAATGAGGGTGATGATAGTCTAGCGATATTACACATACACGTATTGCGGAACACGCGAAAAGGTATTACACTTTCACATGTCTACGGCATTTGCACGTCGTTTTAGACCATTGACGTGTTTCTGTTTTTCTGTATAACAAATGAAACATGATTTTTAGAGAGTTTTTGTCATGCTTTTATTATTATGACTTAATACTAATGAAATACCGGAAATAACAAAAAATGGGATCGAAGTACGAAGTGCGAAATTAATATTAGTCTAGGTGACACAGCTCTTATTGTAAGTAGGTCGCATTTATTGTCTATACTACTGAGGGATGAATATACAAATGTTTTATAGTCAAATAGTCCGTCGACGCAAACTACAGTCGAAACTTCGTTGAGAGGGAGATTTGATTTCCCTCCAACAGTGATTTATTCTTTCCGTAATCGCGTTCACAGTTCCAAATACATTGGTTCCATAGGTCAGGACAACAATGGATGCGTGACGGGAGAGAATCAACATCATTTGACGGACAACAATAACTCATGTGAGTATATACCTTTGAGTCCTCTTCTATCATGTGTCTCATTTCTTCCGTATTCATTATACAATCATCATCTATGGGTACATTGCATGTAACAGCTTCTTTTAAGCCACAGGTTAACAGTGCCTTCTGAAGACAAACATGGGTCCACAAAGTGGAATATACTACCAGCCTGGAATTATAACAACAAGCACATTACTGTCATTACCTCCCGGATAAAACGGATCTGTGCGCCGGGAAGCACTTTTATATAATAAAATAATGACGTTGACGTTCGTGTTTATTGATAGAGCGAACACATGTCAAAGTTAGAAAGCGATCCGAGAACGCAACAATCCGCAATCACTAATCCTAATGTATTAATATGCTTTTGTTTAGAAAACACTTTAATCACATTGTTATAAGCATCCAGTTTCTTTATGAAAAGTAAAAAACAAACCAAAAAACGTAGTCATGAAAAATTATTCACTCAGTAAATCAAACAGCAATACTTTCCATCAATGGTGAAGAATTCTTCAAAAATCTAATTCTTCATAACAAGACCATGACCTTACTTAAAAGTCCAACGTTTAATATGTGTCTGAAAGGCAGCATTTTTTTCAAGTTCAATCTCATCTATTTCTCAAAATGAATGATCATAGAAAATATTTAAATGAAATGTTTAAATGAAATTAGTTATATGCTGACAGATAAATATCTAAACAAACGACTTACAAAATCCTTATATTTTAGATGAAGATAACAATGTAGAAGACTTGAACTGGTGGAGTCGCATACATTCTTTTACACCACAGAAGCGCGTCATCACTAGAGAGGGCATGTTGGAAACTGACGGAATATCGCATACATTAACAAATATTATTCTTGTTTTATAATATATTCAGCAGAAATTCCAGACCACGCACGAATCATAATACATTTAATATATGGTCTGAATTGGTATTTATTGACAGTAAATATTCACGCCAAAGTCCCAATAGATACATGAGGTTGCTTCTGTGAATGAACTCATGTATACATGATGATAACAATATTACACCCGGTCGTTGAGAGGTTATGTTCTTATTTGCTTTTTTCAGCACGCGTGGCGCTATTTGTGCGGTGTTGTAGATACAAATACACTGTACAGTGTACAGGGATGAAATTAAATAAGTATCATTTGAACATTGCATACCTGTGGTAATCTTTGGCCAAAACGTTAGCATTCTCTCTTGCTGCGGTGACGGCATGGAGTGTCCCCGCAGACCCTCCAGACGTGATATATCCTCCATAACCTTTAGAGAACCCCATCATTCCTGCTGCCCATTCAATTACTGTAGAATACATTATTTTCGCTTGGAATTTATTTTCGCTATTTTCGCTGAATGGATGATTCCGTGAAAATAAAATCCAGCGAATATACTTTTTTCCTATATTTCACATTACATTCATCAAAAATCAGTGAAAATACGTTCCATACAAAACGCCCAAAAAGCCTTTTCAGCGAAAATTAATTCCAGCGAAAATAAAGTATTCCACAGTATTATATTTTCCATACGTACTGCGCCAGAGCACAATAAAAACTTTCCTTTAGAGAAATGTAAGCAAAAATGATTATATATTCATATCACCTATACCTGATGGCTAGACAGGTATTCCTTTAAATTGACTTTAGTATGATTTAAAAAATAATAGCCAAATCCTAAATCTCACATCTTCAAATTTCTTTTTTAATGATTGCCATTTATAGTCTATCACTTAAGGCCATTCTTTCTCCAATTAAGACCCTTAAGAAAACATCACTCCACTGCCTGGATGAACAATATAACGGAGCGGTTCTTCATTACAAAAGAGCCTTGCAAGACAAAGGCATGACATTTACACGGGTAGGCTTCTTTAGGTTTTAATATTATTATTAAATCAGTTTGATTAACCCATATGAAAAATGAGCTGAAATATAATATTTCAACGAAACCAATTATAATGCGAATATAGTTTATATGTATCAACCAGAACACGTGTAGAACAAATCAGGACCATCATTTTCTTGGCATTCTAACATTTATACCAAATAAACTAGCCAGAAGTGTACTTCCATCTTTTAGGTACTTGAAGTGTATTATATACATAACACAATCCAGCTATTTCATCTACCAATCATACAAAGGCTAGATATATGTGAAACTACCTACCCACCAATTACTCCCATTAAATTGATTAATGCTTTTGTTTACATGTCCCATAAATATCTGAATACATTAGGTACTTGCACTTATGACACGGTATATGTTTCCTTCCCTAGCTTTCTCAATAAAGTAAGTAAATAAATATCGATCTTGATCACTGGTACAAACATTTATATTAGTACAAAACTGAACAAAGCGTAGTTTACAAAGTAAACTAAATAAGTTATGTCATGCTGCTGTAATGACGCAATTAAGACCCCTAAGCAATGCTATTCTTTTTCAGTCATGTTTGAAATAAAGTCCAATGATAAGTCTGGTAAACACACAGAACACTCTGATTTTTTTTTTAAATTTTCACCCATGTATTTTTTGAAGAGTTCGCTTTTACTGAATTCATTCCCTGATATTGAAATTCCAGTTCTTTATTACAACTACCATAATTTACAAACTTGATTTATAACGTATTGCGGAAGCAATAGGCTTTGTGTCTGGAACGCAAGCGATAGTGCGCCATCAACGGAGCTGATGTGCGTAATGTGATGTCACTCTTGTTGCGCGAGGTGTGACGTCACTCCATCTTCAAGAAATGTAAGTGGTCTTTCTTAGTGTGGTAAATTGTGGAAATAATATTCATTTTCTACTGATCTCCGCTTCACTTGGTATATTTATCAACCTTAATACATCCAAGATTTGAATGAAGGTGGTTTGGTGTGGTATATCATTTGAATTTCATTCCTAGAAGCGTTTTGAAT